CGCCAGTCAGCATCTGCCGCGCGAGTGATATATGATTTTCAAACGATACGATACAAAAACGCGGCACGTAAACAGGCGGTAAATTATTATAAATTAGAGCAATATCTCTCCGTTAAAATTGCCTGAGATAGCTATTCTTGTATCGATCGTCAAAGTAGATGATTATAAAAATCCAAGAGTGCCTGTGGACAGGCCGGCTGAGGAGAATAGCATACGGATCTTAGAGATTATAATATCGGATGTCTTTGTTGTTGACTTTTGTCTTTGCCATGATTGAAAAGGTGCTACGGTACAGCCTTGGCTAAAAATATTAGGCATTTTGTTAACCATGAGCTTTGAAATCCCCTGTCGAGGATAAGTACTATTTTTATGTCACCGTCGATCTTTATTTTGCGCAATTAAGATTGGTATAACGTTTCGCGAAAAACTGATCTTTTTATCGGTCTTTCCAGCAGAAAAAGTAGCTTTGCAATTTATGACTCTTTTAATATGATTTATTATACATTTAGATGAAGCAAGGAATTAAGGGCAAGAGAAGAAGCGCAGCCATTTTTATAATTTTTCGTAATTAATTGGAAATAATACAATAGGTAAAAGAATATCAGATTAATGGAAAAATATGGGTGTCTAATATTTTTTACCAAGATTGTGATAGCTGCAGAGTTTACATTAATTAAACTGCAACTTTTAATTTACTTCACGCAAGCAGTTCATTAAATTTTGTGAATTTTGAAATCCTCTGTCGAGGATAAGTATTTTTATATCACTATCGATCTTTATTTTACACAATTAAGATTGGTATAACATTTCGCGGAAAACTGATCTTTTTTGTCTTTCAGCAGAAATACTGATCTTCATATCCGACCTTGTCGCTCGTTATTGTCGAGACGTTAATTGTTGCCGCTAATTCGCTATAATTCCTCACATTGTGAACAAGAACAATGACCGCTTAGCAATTCCAGCTCCTTAATTAAACGATATCATTGAGCTAAAATACATATCCTACATATTTCTAGAAAATAAAATCTAATTATGCGCGAGCAACAGTAGTTATTTATAATTGAAGAATTGAAAAATAGAAAAGGAAAAATCTCGAGAAAAATATATTGATATTTCATAAATCAGTATATACTTCTTTCATTTTTGACATCAATGAAATGACAAACGAGGCTGAGTATAATGTAATTCGACGTGGAATCAAATTTGGCTTCTTTTTACTGATTGAAAGAAAAAGAACTCTGCTGCGCAACAAAGTCGTATAAAAAAATAATAATATTCGAGTTGCACGCTTCGAGGGGCTTCCTCAAGGACAACTGCGCGACATTTGCATATCTTGAATCGACGATTCTGAACGGTTATGCGAATAGGAATGTATATATTCGAGGAGGGGTACCAATCGAGGAGCAACGTCGACTCAGCGATCGGAAGCGAATTTCGACGTGAGAGATGCACGAAGATCTACTTTCGTCCACTCGACTTTCCCACGAAACGATTGTTAACCATTGAATTTGTTGCGGTTATAATCGAGTCTTTTCACGAATTCCTAATATTTAGTACTGGAAACTGATGTAGCCTTCATTTTGTATAAAACACAGAAATTCGCGATTTTCTTCATGGCAAGCGCCGAGTAAATGTTTACGCTCGCTCGCACATTCTTCATTTTCAAACGTTTGTAGAACTCGGCACAATCATGACCTTGATGATTCGATGAACACTTGGAACAAGGAGAAAACGCTTTTCAAGTTTGAATATAAAAGCTGACTTACGTGAACGCTCCAAGTGCTTTGAAATAATTTTAACGATCAATTAGATTTAAAATTCTTTCTTCTGATTGAATAAATTAAATGCTTCGAAACATTTACAATGAATATTTGATCTCAGATATTGTTGATCAACCATCTTTCAATAAATCTCAACTCGTTTTCTCATTTTTACTCTCGTTCTCTCTTTCTATTTAGCTACTTATGTATTTTTGTTTCCTTTACTCCTATTTTTACTTATTTCTATGTTTTTTGATGGCTTGCTTAAAATAGTAACGAACACTTTTACTTATTTATGTATCTCTCTCTCTCTCTCTCTCTCTCTCTCTCTCTCTCTCTCTCTCTGTTTTATTTATTAGTTAAATTACCACATAATTTATTCGAAGATGGCACTACCGATTAGACTGATATTCATAGTCGGTTCTTATTTTAAGACCGTCGTAAATAATGTCTTAAGCTACTAATGCAAACTGTGACGTACATCTTAAGACTGTACCGAAGATGGTCTTGAATAATATAAGAACCGACTATGAATACCGGTCTTATAATGTTCGATATAAAACAGGATTCCAATATTAGTATAAACTCAGGCGTTTGATTGACAAACGAAATGGGTTAACAACACTTACAATATCAAAGTAGTAGTAGTAGCAGTAACAACCCCCCTCAGTCCCCATAAGTCCATATTTGATTCTCGAACACAGCGCACTCGTCCATCCACGGATTTCGATGATGCGGCAAGCAAGAGTGCATTTGTAAACATCGTGGATCGATGGCGTGTCATCGACATTTATCAGCAGGGGATGTTGGCGGGAGCGTGCGAGGAAGGAGGGAAAGACATTTACAAGTGATAAAATTACGCGCATGAATCATCGTGCGAGTGGATCATCGCAGCCCGCTACTATTTCAGGCGGTCTCGAATAAATTCGACTGTACCCCTGCGGACGAAGGAAAGGAGGGATATTCTGCTTTCGCGAGCGATCGCGTCGTTTCGCGTCCACGCGATTATCATTGCCATCACTGCCGGTCACGTGTGGTGTGTGCCACCTCCTCTTCCCGTCCGATCATTCATAAAACCGTCACGTAATTTTCCTCGTCATCGATTACTTTCGTTCGTCTAGTTCAGTGCCGGTTCATACCTTGAGACAAGAGCCATCGATGCCACTTTATGTCTGTTTCTACCAATATGTGAATTAACTTTAATCTGACTCAACTTACTCTTCACTTTTCTTGTTCCAAGAATTGGCAAAAGATGAAGAGTAAGTTGAACATTGAATACATTGTTTTCTAGATAAAAATATGAGACACGTATTTATTATGTGGACTCGATCGCACTTTTAGGAAATGCAATACCTCTTTCTTCATCTTTTGCAATTCTTAGAACAAGAAAAGTGAAGAGTAAGTTGAACTGTGTGAAACCCATAGAAGTGTCCTTCTCCAACTTTGATGAGAAAGAGGTATTGCATTTCCTAAAAGTGCGATTGAGCCCATGTAAAAAATACGTGTCTCATATTTTTGTCTAAAAAACAATGTTCATCGGAAGGGAATACTTCCATGGGTTTTCTTGTGAAATAACTTAGTACCCATGATTGGGCCATTCGTGTTCTTGCGAATTTCTTTTTAAAATACTAGAAACACCTGGCTAAATAATCTCTACCCTTTCCTTTTTTAAATACACTAACCTTACAAATATTTTCCAAAAGTGTTAAAACACGTGTAAGAATCGCTTAACAATTTTTATATAACATTCGTAAAAATGAGGAAAATTAATTCAAACATATAGGCATTAGCGTTTTGAGGAGTTGCAAAATTTTCTCATAAAGATATTAAGGATAATTTAAGTTTTCACTTTCCTGGCAGCTGATGCTATAGCGTAATGTTTGCATAAAACAAAATGAACGATTGCATAGCGACGTTGACTTTCTCTCGCAACTTTCAGATAAATTTGCATTTGCTTTCTAAGCTTTATAGACGACATTCGATGCATCGACGATCAACATTTGTGTCTGTTCTTATACTTATTCTATATAAAAATTCTATAAAAAAAAAAAAAAAATGTAATCGCGCCTATAGTGACGCGATGGAACGAAACGATCGACGTTCGTGACGCGAACACACGGCCGGAAATTGATTTAGGACAACCGCGAGACTCGCCGTCGTCCCTGTACCTCGGGGCGAATACCCCTGACCTTTATGGACTTCCCCTTCTTGGCTGTGTAACCATAGGAATTGCGCACAAGGCGCGGGAATGTCGAAATGTCATATTTTGAAATTGTCCGTGAATCATATTACGAACTCTCCTCCCCATCTCTGTGAACGGAACTATTGTCGTCATGTCGTCGGTGTCACATCAGATCTTACGAGTATATGTGTAAACGCCGTGTAGGCGTAATTGTCGTGTAGGTGCGCCATGCCTCTCCTGCTATTTTGGCCAGGGCCACCTGCGAATTATCGGGGAGACACCTCTTCTTTTTTATAACGAAAGGGATATAGCGCGGCGTCTCTGAGAGGAAGCCGTGATGCAACGCCGGTTTATCGTGATCCGGTATTTTCTGTCGAATTTAAATAAAAGAGGTTGGCAAATACAGACTCGTATTTTGACTTTAAAATGTAACGCGAGTTTTACATTTGCTTCGTAAATAAATAATCTAATCTACAGTGTTCTCTTTCTCTTTCTTTCTTTTTTTTTTATCACTTTTTATCTTTCTTTTTGACTCTTACCCTGCTTTTCCATTTTCTGTCGTCCAAGGTTTATAAACCTTGGAAGAGACGAGAAATACGATTATCGATAAAATTATCGCCAAGAGAGAAACAGGTGAAAATTAAGACACACAAAATAAAGAGCGCATTATAGATTAAGTAGCCTTAACTCTGGAGATAATCAGACGTCGTTACAACAGTCATTCCTTTCGTGTTGCAGGATCAGCTCTTGTAGAGAGCGACCGACTGATAACGCACGAAGATCTCTCTCCGTCCAAGGACCCGGTGCAGCGACACTGCGAAACGACACTGCACGGGTCAACAAAAGTACAAGTGATATTTGTAACTAATAGTTAACGCGTTTAGAGCTTAGAGGAGCCGAGGCCGTTCTTGCGAAACTCCCTACGCTTTGTATATACAAATGCCGGATACTCGAGCCGCAGTATTCAGTGCTAAGTCCAAGTGACGCGAAGTGTGTTCAACGCATCTCTCACTACGATCCAGCGTGGACCAGGACACGATACAGGACGTCCAGAGTAACGGCTGCATTCGACAGTGACACACCGAGTGTGTACGTGTGCGTGCGTGTGCGTGCGTATCTGTGTATGCGCGCAACATGAGAGTGGCCAGGCAACATCCATTGCATCTGCAAGTATCGACCCGCATCAACAATGGCAAGTTCTTGGTCGGTATCAATAATAGTCAAGACGTTGTCCATCAGCAGCCGTCACCGCAGCAACAGCAGCATTCGACCAGCGACGAGAGCAGTGCGGTGGTTCCAGGCTGCGTCTTTCCGAGCTGCGAGTCGGTGCCCACCGACCTTCATGGGAGCCCAACTATACTGGGGGATCGATTCCTGCTTCTTGGTCCGGCCGAAGGTAGCGCTCTTTATCGATGCGTCGACGTGCACAACGACCAGCAACTTGTCGCCAAGGTTAGACTCGAGATTCCTTTACAAATCGGTTCATCATTTTCATCGCTTCAGCTCCAACACGGATCGTAAAAATATCTTATTCTATGTTTCTACAAAATCTTAGCGACTAGTAGAAACTATTAATTGAATATTTGTAACATCTCGGCAATAAATCAGTAGGAGGGTATATTTATTCCTTACTATTTAAATAGTGTATAACTTCTTTTTTTTTTTCATTAGCAATACAGTGGCTGCAGTGGTTTAAGAGACAAAGCTGCTCCACAAACGCTCAGTGATTTTTTAAATATGTTTGTCTTTCATTTTTTCGTTGAATTTAAACTATACAGACCGATTATGATAATAACTGAGTGGTCACTGATAATGAATTAAGGTCGTAGTACAGAATTTTGCATAACGCTGCATAACGCATAAGGTATAAAGTATAAGAGAATCAGTTCAATCAGAGTCCTTCATTTCGTACTTTGGTTGAATTCCTTATTCTTTATACGTTATACAGTGTTAGGACAGGAGTTAATAGATAGATTTTTGTACAATGCATAACGCATAAAGTATAAGAATCTTTTATTTCATAGTCAGAAAGAAAATGAAGGACCTTTGACTTGATTCATTTTCTGATGCGTTATGTGTTAATGCAAGACTCGATGTTCCCGTATGCAAAAATCTGCTGCGGCCTTCGTTTTTTTCAACGCAGTCTATTACATTAAAAACAGTAATAACAGTATACTATTAAACGACCAGCGATACACGCGACAATTTTATAAGATCTATTTCAATTTTAGAAGTGACTTTTTTTATATTGCTTATTTCTCAAATGTTGCTTTCTTACCGCGCGGAGGGAAAAAAAGA